CTCCAAATTAAGATAAGAGTGTGTTTATCTCTTATTCCTTATTTGGAATTTATCCCATCCTTTCTAAACCCATCCTTCATCCCTGATTTTCCACTCTTCTTCATAATATCAAAACCCAAAAAGAACTCCTTCACATTCCCATATTTTCATCCAGCCCATTTCCCCTTCATTATTCCACAATTCCATCTCCAAAAATAACAACTTGATAAGACCCCCGGTTCACCCCTAACAATCGGCGAAACCCAAATTGAAGGGAGAGAGCGGCGAAAACCCTAACTGGAGAGGGAGAGAGCAGAAAGGTCGTGTCTCGGCTTGTCATTTGAAATTTAAGAAATCAAATTTTGGAATTGAAATGAAATGATAGTTCTAGAACACTACCTGTAGTAAATCGCTCAACATTTACTTTGATTTGATAGGTACTTTGGGCCCAAATGCATGACTTTTATCATACTCAATGAAGACAATCCATTGTATTATTATTACTGTTGATTATGCTTAAGATGCCAAGCCTGTCCTATCCTACTAGACAGAGTAAGCCTACTTGATATGAGTTGTGGATTTCCCCGGATGGTGCAAGTGGAGTGGTGAGCAAGATTAGGTCTAAGAACGGAGGTAGTTATGATTCGTAGACCGTAATTAGCTCCACGAAAAAGTGGATTGTACTCACCGGTTGTAATATAAATACTCCTTCAAGCGTGGAGAAGAGATTGAATCTTGTTATTCCGTGTTCTTGAAGTTTTCGCTCTCCTATTCTTTTTACATACTAGTATTTTGAAACAACTTTCATATCCTCATGGCCCACTCCCGTGTCCAGTGGATTAAAATTCATCATTTAGACTCTCACTTAGAGCTGAAGCGTGACCCTCAAGTGTGCTCATCACTTACGATGGCCAGAAGAAAGAATAAGAGCACCACCTGTCATAGCATTGCCATTGACATAGTATGTTTGACGCTGCACGCTCTGACGGGAGATCTATGCAGGATCAACAAGATAGATAGACAGCTGGAGATGGTTGTTGTGGAGTCGCCTAATGCTGGTCTGCCGATGACTTTGCAAGGGATCACAATCCTTTCAGGGGAGAACATGATGCAAAAGCGCCTGCTCAAGACCCGCAGGGGCAATTGACATCGTGGGTTGATATTTTACTGTCCAAAGGATTTTTCAAAAACAAAGGATAAATAGGGGCCTCTCTACGACACCTTGCCATAGCAACATATAAGGTGTGCTTTTGAGAGTCATAAGTCTATAATTCCCGCACCCCACACCGTAGCAACACGAAAGGTGTGATTTCACAACTCACAAATTGTTGAAACTCTTACTAAGTCTCACATCCCAAAGGGTCAAGAAGAATATTTCTTATTTTTTTATTTCAAACATAAACTTTTTTATTTCATAATGCTAGATTACACACTTATTCCATCCATCATTAAACTCTTTTCATGTTTCTATTTACGAGGTTTGACCAAAATTATTTTTAATTCAATTTATTTGATTATAAATGTAAAATTTTCAACTTTTTTAGGGAATGCAGATATATTATTAAATTAGGATTGAGACAAAGTCGGGAGGGACAGAATCCCAGGGTATCATATTGGTTTGCCCATGGGGGGCCGAAGCTAATGCATGAGACAAAAATTAGACGTGTGGAAACAAAGTAAAAATAGCACTGACAAAATGACTGCATAAAATTTAAAATCAATTTTATATACCATAAAACTACAAGAAATGTTCTATAAAACAAAAAGTGATATGACTATATAATTTTAACAAATGACTAATGAAAAAAAGCAAAGAAAGTGAAAGTTTGATCGTGTGAATAGTAAGCTAAGAGAATTTTTTTAGGACAAAGAGAGCAATTAAATTAAAGAAATATACAAATATCAAATTAAAAATACTAGAAAAAATTCTTGATTCATCTTCAAATATGTTTGTCCTCCATCCTTCATACCATGCTAGGTGTGATTAGCTCCTTTTATCTAACCTTAATTATCATTCAATGACAATGAAAATTATATTGGTAAAATCTTCAAACACAAATCATGAAAATTTTCTTTGGCTTCATCCACCCAACTTAATCTTGAATTTCAATCAACATGTATAGAAATATCCCTCGAAAGAATCCAATATTTTTCTGAAAAGAAATAATTAATCAAACTTATTAGGAAATTAAGAAGCAATTTTTGAACGGTTTGGTTCACATGACATTGGTCCCAATGTCATTTAGATGACCCAGGGCTCTACGGTGCTCCATTCAAAAAATGATGGTTCCTATCCCCCACCCCCTTCAATTGCACCCCCAAATTTTGTTGACTTTGGAGTCAAATGTTGACCCCAAAGTCAACAGAATTTCGGGGGTGCAATTGAGGAAGAGGGGTTGGCTTGGGTCGGGCTAGGGTTGGGGGTTTACCTAAGGTTAGGAACTGTCAATTTTTCAAACAGAGCACTGTAGGGCCCTGGGTTATCCCATGACATTGCTTAGTACCCCGATTTTTGAAACCTTAACTTCCACAGCACAGTTGACCATTTGTGTGATACGGTTGGTGATTGGACCGTCGTTGGGTTCACCGTAAACATCCGCCTAGTAGTAACGGTCCGGTTGACTGTCTCTCACCGCGGTCCAGTGGTTGGACCATGAATCGGTCTGACAAAATCTGTGCTCCCAGAAGCCCTTCCATAGTGGAGCTTTCATGATCCATCGGATGGACCGTTATTCCATCCAGTGATTGAGTACACTTCAGAGCCTTAATGCAGTCGACTGTCTTATCTGTGTTGTCGACTCCCTCCACCAGTCCACCGTGCTTCGACAGTTTTGTACTTTCTTGTGCCATGCTCTGCCCGGTTCTGCCTTTAAGGTTAAGTTCAAGAGTTGCCAATCTGATTTATATCAAAACAGGCCAGACAAGGCCCTTTGGGGTCCGTCAAAGATTCTAACTGCTAGTCACCCTCGTGGGTGTTCTTGGGTATGCAACCAGCTCACTTGTTCAGGTGGAACAACTAACAACCCATCCTCCGATAGTACAAAGCTTTCCATGCAATGCAGGAGGCCCTTTGGGAACAGGAATTCCTTAGAGAGTATGAGAGGCTATAGAAAAGGAATATGATTTGCCGTGAAGATGTCGCCATCTCCGGACACAAAGATGGAAAGCTGGACTATGAACAACCACTTGGTACTTCTGCTACGCATGTGATGTGGATGCTCTCACACGGGAGGTGCTTTCGTTAAGCTATTCGTCGGGAGAGTCTCGATGTGGGTAGACCTGGCCTGAGTGGGGTTCAAGAGGAGACAACACATACTCAGCGAAGCACAGTTGAGTCTTTCCATGTGCATAGATGGAATGCTAGAGTCACCTGCAGGCTTGAGGTTCAGGAGGAAATGCAAACACCAAGCAGACCCCCTGTGGAGGGGATTTAGGAGGTGATATACCCCCAGTACCTACGAAAGTCCTTAAACAAATTACCGGATTAATGACTAAATCCTACGATCCTTTTTGGAATGAATTTACCCCTCCTAAACCCAAACCCTTAGCCATAATTTCATTGGATTTTTCCTCACCCTAAAATAAACCCAAACAACCTGTTTTCTTTCTTTACTGCCCAGGCCGTACCCCCTTACCCCCACCCTTTCTCATCAAAAACACACCCCATTAAACTCACCAAAATGACCCACAAATATTTCATCCTTTTCCCTTCAATTCTGGCCGAAACACAAGAGCCAAAACAACACATATCATCCCCATAATAAACCCCAACACATGGACCCCCTTTGTTCCCTACCCAAACAGCATACACACCCTCCATTTTAACCACCAAATAAGCCCTACAACTACACTCCAAAGCTAAGAATAAAACATCCCATTTGTTGAGATGTGTGGGACGTATAAACCCANATCATATTAAGTCATATTTTGGTGATTTGATTAAGGAACAAAGCTTGTAATTTCCCCCTTTCCCTTGTTATTTATTTCGGCCATAGGCCTCATTTGAAAACAGATTGTATTCCTTTTCATTTCCAAGTAATAAACCATTGTGTTTGTTATTTTAAATCCTAATTTCTATATCTTAAGGTTGGTTTCCTTAAGTGTGAGTGTTAGGTTCTAGATATTTGATTAAGTGTGTTATATCTTAATTAAATTCTAGATTGAACCCCAAGTGAGGAGAAGAGTGTGTAATATCTCTTTAACACCAACTTGGTTTATCTATCCCAAAGAAATACTAAACTGTTTATTTCCCCCTCTCTTCTCCCTTATTTTCGGCCTGCTCCCATCCACCACCCTAATATTACTTTTCTCTCCACTTTTCCACTTAAACAAAAGCCTAAAAATACTCCTTCCCCACTGCCAATTTCGTTCCTAGTCTTCCCTCCCTTAAAATCCTCCATTCCTTGCACAAAACCTCACCAATATAGCCTTATCACTTCCTCCCTTTACCTTACTGCCAATTGTGTCTTTCTACCTTGGAGTGGGTGCCTATCAGGAGGGTAGAACACTTGTTAGCACCGAACCTGCACTCAAGATTAGTAATGCTTTGAAAAACACGTGATTCATTAAGTGAAAGACGCCAACGGAATAGTTAGAGATGCCTCAAGCAAAGTTCATATAGCCTAATTGGCTGCAAGTTGAACAAGCTATGACCCTCTTTAGATCGTTCTGTAATATTCCAGTGGTTGCCGCAAGGAATGACGTCATAGCTCCTGCAAAAGTAATAACAATCAAAGCCGTAGGTATGTATTCAAATAAAGAGGAGCACCTTGCTATCATGAAAACACCAGCTGTTACTTAACAATCTTGAGTAACATTCAAGAGCCGCAGGGTGCCAGCTCAGCAAGCAACAAAAGCTCCAGAACCAGCATCAATCTAAGATTCAATTAACAACTTGAGCAGAAGAGGCAACACATCAATGCTCCTAAGGGAGGGTTTTGATGTTCATGTATACATCCTTGTGTTCATATTATTTTCCTTATTCTCATACATATATCCGATTTACTTATTCTTGAATATCTTGATGGATTAATTTCCATCATTTAGTATTGGAGAATGGAGACTGTTGAGCAAGGTCTCGTGAGGTAGAGGATGCTGGAGTTGATGTTTTTTTTGGCGTTGAGAGGGGTGGTCATCTGACTCATCTCTAGGTGTCATTTTCTTCAGTGCTGACCACCCCTCTTAACAGTGTCATTTTCTTCAATTTAATGATGTTTCTGATCCTAGTTGTGATCCTAGTTAAATTTCATGGAAGGACTTGTTTTTATAAGGAGAGGGGATCCTAGTTCGGATTGTGCAGACAACTAAAGACAGAAGGCAGAGGAATCAAGGCTATAATGATGTAATTGGAGGCAAAGTGATGCTGGTTACACATCAGGAAGATACAAGTAGCTCTCCTTGTGCCTCACAAACCGCCCCCATCAACTCAGTGCCTCATCACCGGCTTTGATTTTGAATTTTGAAGCTCTCTCCTTCTTAAATCATAATTTCTTGCATCATCATCTTTAGTTTAGGCCACAAAAGAAATTGGGGCTCATGATGGTATATTGGGCCCTGTCCAAGTGCATGATGTTTATTATCCGAGCATACCTAGGTCGTTCTATTATTATAATTGTTGACTTGCCCCAAGTTGCCAAGCCCATTCCACTAGACAAGTGAGACCCACATGAAATAGGTCGTGAATTTCTTGACCCAGGAGCAAGGCCTACTTGGATTTTGCAAGTAGAGTGGTGAGCAATGCTAGGTCTAAGGAGGGATGCCCCTCACGCTCCAGCATTTAAAATATAAAATAAGCTCCACGAAAAGTGGATCGTCATTGCCCATAGGATGTAATATAAATACTCCTTTTCTAAGTGTGGGGAAGGTTTCAAATTCATGTTATTCAATAGTGGTCTTGAAGCTTTTGCTCTCCCATGGTTTTACTATCTAGTTTTCTGTATCAATCTTCATTTAGTCACGGTGTGTCCGGTGGATTAAAGTCCATCGTACTCCAGACTGCAAATTTGTAACATATTTATTGAACTATTCTACAATTTTCGGTGTTGTGGATGGAATTGTAGAGTTTTTGAAGCTCAATCCAATGGGGTATGTGCCGGTATTGGTTGATGGAGATGTTGTTATTTCAGATTCGTTTGCAATTTTGATGGTGAGCCTCTGTCCTTGTGCTAGTGAGTTATAATTGGAATTCTGTACAAAATAACTGATACATATTCATATTTTGCAGTATTTGGAGGAAAAGTATCCCCAACATCCCTTGTTGCCTAAGGATCTGAAGTTAAAAGCTACACATTTTCAGGTAAATGAGGAAGTGTTTGAGGTATAAATTTTAGAGGGGTGAATAGACCACAAGTTTATTTAATTGAAACTCAAACTATGCGTGGCAAGTATCCATACTATTAACTCTGTTTAAGTACAAATGGGAGAAGATTATAAGTATATACCGTATACAAGTGTTCCTAGCATAGTTTTCAGAACCGGACCGGTGACCGAACCGGTCCAGGTATTGGTTCACTGGTGTTCAACTGGTCAAATTGGTGGTTTAAACATTTTTTTAAATTATATATATATATATATATATATATATATATATATATATATATATATATATATATATATAAAATTTAAAAAAATGTTTAAACCACCAATTTGACCAGTTGAACACCAGTGAACCTACCTGGACCAGGTACTGGTTCACTGGTGTTCAACTGGTCAAATTGGTGGTTTAAACATTTTTTTAAATTATATATATATAAAAAAATGTTTAAACCACCAATTTGACCAGTTGAACACCAGTGAACCAGTACCTGGTCCAGGTAGGTTCACTGGTGTTCAACTGGTCAAATTGGTGGTTTAAACATTTTTTTAAATTATATATATATATATATATATATATATATATATATATCAATATATATACACATATATACAAACACACTCACAATCTCTCATTTATAAATACCTAAAGTAAATAATTTATAACATTTGACCAAAACTATATTAAATTTACTTCAGTTATGTCACTAAGCTTAAAAATAAAATTTACATATTGTCTAATATTAAAAACACTGAAATGAAATCTTTGCATAATATGCATTTTGTAATAGTATCAATTATATCAATGATTCCGAGTTTGAATCATAGCTATAATATTATATTTTTTGAAGTTTTTAAAATGAAAAAAGAAATCTTTATACAATTTTTTTAAAATAATGGAGTATTAAAAATTATTAAGTGAACTCGTAACACAAAAGCACTCTAGCTTCGATGGTTAGCAATTTAACATTGGTACTTAGAGGCCTTGGGTTCGAACCCCCGTGGGGTGTGTTTTTTGGGGGAAAAAATCGCACAAAAAAAACTGGTCCGACTGGTTCGATCGTCCGGTTCACAGCGGTTCGTAGTTGTTCAAAGCAGATTGCGGTCCAAAGGGCTGGACCGGACCGGTTGGACCACCGGTTTGCCGGTTCACGGTCCGAACCAGCTGGTCCGGTTCTTAAAATTATGGTTCTTAGTTAAGGCATGACATCTTGGTGCTTAGTCATGTGTATTACCTCATCTTACCTTTATATCAACTTCCTGGAAGCTCCCTACAACCTACTTTTATTACTATTATTTCTCTCCCTCAAGCATGGAGTATATATATCATATACTCCTATCATTTCGAAAATGCATTTCATTCCATATCCTCTCATTGTCTTAAAATATCAGCAAGTTGGTCTTCTATGCTAACATAACTTTTAATGATATGTGCAACAACTATTTGCTCTCAGATGAATGACAGTCCACTTACTTCAATATGATTACTTCTCTCATGGTATACTATATTAGAAGCAGTGCGAATAACTGCCTGATTGTCACACATTAATTAAACAGGTTTTCAGTTGCCATTTTTTTAATTCCTAGAGGGAAAAGCTTTAACGACAAGATTTGACATGTTGCAAGAGCCATTTCACGCTTTTCTTTATCTGCATTTTATCTTGCAGTTTTTTTTGCACTTGATTTTCACCAATCAATATACAATACAAATATACAACAACCTCTATCAATATGACAAGCAACCCGGTCTGAATCATAGTACCCCACAATATTATTATTGTCTTGGTGACTGGTGCACAAATGTTTCTTAAAGCCCGAAGTTTGGAATCCCTTTTCCTCCGCAAGGTTTGTCTATGCATTAACATATCGCACTTACACAGAATGAAGTATCAAGTCTTGTGATTGTGAGGTAATTTAGTTTTTGCACAAGCCTTCTACATCCTTCTTTATTAGACAATCACCCTGTTTTGGCACAAGCTTGGCATTTAGATCCATGAGAGTATCTATCTATTACTACGTATGAGTCTACACTTTAGCATCCCAGTTCTTCAAGAATATCCTGAACAATACTGTCACTTGATTATTGAACTTCAATGCTAAGAAAGTACTTCAATTTTCCCAAATCTTTATTTGGAACGGCTCGAACAAATATTGCTTTAATTGAGTAATCCATATAATCACAATATAATACTCCCTCCGTCCCCCTAAGATGTTCTCATTTTGACTTTTGGTGGTTTTTAAGGAGAGTTGAAAAAAAGTGAAAGTTTACCATAATACCCTTAATGGAATATGGGTGGAGTGTATTAAATGAGGTGGGTGAGGTGTAATAAATAAAGTAAGTGGGGGTAGTTATGGTATTTTAATTGTTAAAAAATGAAATGAGAAGATCTATTGTGGACAAAGAAAAAGGACTATTGAGAAGATCTATGGGGGACGGAGGGAGTAGTATATTAGTATCGTCAACATAATACACCTAATAGATACATTTGTTAGTGATTGAATGCCAAAGAAAAAACAGAATGAGCACTAGCACTTTGGTGCATGCCGAGTGCTTGAGCAGCACTACTGAATCCTAATCAGGCACGCGT